CGATCTTGGGAAGGTAGAATTTTCCCCAGCCATTCACTTCATCATGTTTCCCTCTGTACATGGTGTCCTCCAGCCCTGCTATCCTCAGCATGGCACCAGCTGGATTCTTCAAGCTGAAATGCTTGTTTTTGTATTTGGAAACAAAATCTGACATCCATTCCAGGTATTTTATACCTGGAAATAAGCAGAGAAGATGATCTCACTGATCTCATATGCTCAGACTACTGTCCACGTGCACAAAGGGAAGTCTTCAGTAAAAAGACAACAAAGGCTGATGTGAATCATCTTGCTGAACTCACTAAAGACCACAGTTTGAGACCCTCCCGGAACAGATTTTTACACTTAGGCTAAAAAGTTACTGCGATAAAGGAAAAAAGTTACAGATTGTTTTTTTGTAACTATTATGCCATCAGACCGACGTCTATGGTATGTAGAGGAAAAGCATGCAGTTACCTTCTGCCCTCTCACACTGCTGCAGATCTGGCATAACAAGAAAATGATGTGCACTGAAAGAAATAAAAAGGTTACAGTAAAATAAATCAGTGACAGTGATCATTGGAAACTGCAAAGTATCACAACACTATCTATGAAATCCCAAAATGCAGTGTGGTGTCTGTAAGCACCAAACATGACATCTCTGCACATTTGTCTTCTGATATATAGATACCTTGCACATACAGCCATTTCAGCCCTCGGTCACCTAGAAAAACAGGTGATTGTCAAAACAGTCATGGAAAATCCAACTTCACGTTAATTCTACTTAAACATGGGACTTAAAAGAAAACTGCTCCATAAAAAGTATTGTAAAAAATAAAATAAAAAATCCTTTTCAAATATAATTTACATTGTCTGTAGTAAATAACATTAAATAAAATGTCTTTTTTCTGTTATTTGCTTCTCACTCGGAATATTTATTCTTAGCCTCAACACTGTATGATTACGTTTAAAAACAGAACTAAGGTGAATGTGACAAACAAAGCGCTTTCTTGTTCTGTGATAATGTAAAGTTATTTATGTAAACACAAGCCGAAACACAAGCGAGTAACAAACGGACTGAAAACATTTCTTCATTAAAAACTCGCACAAACAAGCAGCAGCAGCCTCACTTCACTGCGACAGCGCTTTAAAAATGAAGCTAGT